CCCTCTCCCCTCCCCCCCCCCCTCTCCTCCCCCCTCTCTCTCTCTCTCTCTCTCTCTCTCTCTCTCTCTCTCTCTCTCTCTCTCTCTCTCTCTCTCTCTCTCTCTCCCTCTCTCTCTCTCTCCCTCTCTCTTTCCTTTCCAGAGTCTCCTTGTAGACTCCATCTGTCCTGGAACTTGTCCTAGAGACCAGGCTGGCACCACCTCACAGAGATCTGCCTACCTCTACCCTGGGATTAAAGGTGTGTACCACCACACCTGGCTGGTTTTCTTTTTACTACAAATGAAAATATACTAATATTTTCTAGAGAACCTTTACAAAATTATGTTTATGGAAGTATAAGATTTGAAAATTTTGAAAAATTTGCTGTTCCCCCTCTCTGATTGATGGTCTTCCTTCATTTACTCTGTATGTTTAATAATGAACACTGTGTGTGTACATGTGTGCACATGAGGGTATTTGTGTAAAATGTTTCTTTTTAAAAAAAATCAAAACTGGGGCTAGAGAGATGGCTCAGCAGTTAAGAACCCTGGCTGTTCTTGCAGAAGACCTGGGTTCGAATCCCAGCAGCATATCCGACGCCCTCTTCTGACCTCTTTGGGCATTTCACGACACAGGTGCACTTACATACATGCAAGCAATACACACATACACATAAAATTAAAAAGTAATAATAATAAATAAAAAACCAAGCTCAGAGCTGTTTAAAGACAGGTTTTAAGACAAACCCTGACAACCCCAGGGTTTTAGAGCTTTGCCCTGGCCAGGGCAGGGATGACCTCTGTGTTAGGCCTGGGCTGCTTGCAGTCTACAGCTTGGGGACCCCTGGACATTGCTTCATGGACAGTCCTACTTATATTTAGATTTCTTTGAGGAAAGATGTAGCTCTTCAGCTGTATTTGCCTCCAAGAACTCTGCAGCTGCTGTTACAAAACTAGGGGATTTAAGGTAGATATGGAGAGAATTCCTTTCCATGTGGAACTGTTGAGGTGGGGGCTTTGGTGGGCTGAGAGTAATGACCCCCCGTGACTCTGACAGGTGCATGGGGGGCTATTGCCACCCTCCTGGTTGAGAATGTCCCTTTGAAATATGTTCTAGGGTATGGCTCCTGTCCTATTAATTATGTCACAAACCTAGTAAAACTGAATAATTAATGATCACGGGGCGCTTGCAACTATAAAATGCCATGTAAATGTTAAGGAGCATAAATTACTCTATGTAATAGATAGATATGTAGCTTTAAAAGATTCTGTGGTGGAAAGATTACTTTCTAGAAGAGCCAAGAAGATTTCTATTGTGTTTTCCTCAGAAGGTTGAACTTACTGTCTTAAACACATTTTAGGAGACTCAGGTTTCTGTATTCTACAGTATTTAAAATGCCAATGGCTAACTGCCACATGCAGCTCTGAAATGAAATTACCTACTGCATTTTGGTAAAAGTTGTGTCTGTTGAATCTCTCTAGCCAGAGGCACTTTGGGCCCATGGGCAAAGAAAAGGTGAAGATCATTGAGCACCAAATGCAGACGCTCAGGCTAATGCCTCACCTGGCCACAGTGCTGGCCCTGACCTTCACGAGCAGGTAAGATGGTTCTGGGGCTAGGTCTCTCTGCCTAAGTGGGAAACCCTTAAGGAGGCACACAAGGCTCACTTTATAACTGTGAGCAGGAAAGGTCCTCTGGGGAAAATCTGATGCCCGGGCTCCAGGTGAAGTCCAAATCTTGACTGAGGGCCCAGAAGAGTGGAATTCACCAATCATTGAAGGTTCCAGTCATTGTCTATCTAGTGGATATTAAAAATAATATTTGAACAGTTTAAATAATACTAGCTTCTGATAATGTTTCTAAATGGACAATAAAGCTTTGGGAAAATAGGTCAAGCTATGTACGGGGGAGTCGGGAAGGGTAGATAGGAAAAGAATAAAGTAAGGGCAAGCTTGCGTTCATCACAGCTGTTTGATGCATGCTGACAGCTGCTCTTCCCAGTATGAAGGCACAACCTGGGCTTTATGTTTCATGGCATTGTCACCCGTACATCCTAAAGCTAAGAAACTTCCAGGTTTGCCTAAGATCACAGGGCCCAGGGGGATGTGGACTGTGATGAGAACTTTACACTTTAGACCTTTCTCCTGTGTTCTTTTTTCCTCTCTGACATGCAATTCTTCTCAATCAGTTTCTGAGTAACTTAAACTGGCATGTGTTGGAACTGTTATACACTGATGAGTGACAGAGTGCTAGGGTTTTTAAGAAGGTGGTCATCAGAGGGACCCTGCCTGCCGTACCTAATTTGCTGCTGACCTGTGGGGTGCCAGCCTCCTTGGGTCTGGCTGAGATTTGTTCTCATCACACAACATGAGGCAGAGGACTGGAAGGCCAGGGGCCAGGGTATATCAAGAGTGAATTCTGCTGCAGAAAAACAAAACAAAACAAACAACAACAAAAAACACCACTGAGATGGTCAAAGCTACCTGGAAAATGTAAATCAGTCACATCCAACATCTGTTGCTTAAAATATTTCTGATTCTTTCCTCAGTACTGAAGATTAAACACTGGGCCTCTGAAAACACTCTAAGCTCACCGTCAGCGTATTTCTGAATATTTTTGAAGTTTAATTTGTATACAGTGACGTGCATAGATTATTACATATAATTTGGTGAGTTTTGGCAACTGTCAACAGAAGTGAACACTTCTACCAAGTATAAACCACTTTCATCACCTTGGGAAATTCTTTGGGCCCCTTGAAAGTTGACCCCCACCTTACCACTATATCAGAGACAACCAGTTTTCGGATTCTGTTCCCTAGTTTTACCTGCTTCTGAATCTATGTAAATGGATTCTGTGTCAGTCAGTCTCCTTCAACATGATGTCAAGATAATCCTTGATGTTGTTGACATTTTCTTACCAAGTAGGAACATGAAATGAGAAATAACAACCGATTAACACTTGAATTACTCCCAGCTTTTGGCTACAATCCGTAGCCACTGTGAATATCTTTGTTCATGTTTTTTCCTTTTTCTTTGAAAAGTAAATAGAGAGGGCTTGGTGGGTAATTAGATAAGTGCATGTGTAATATTATATAAAATTGCTAGTTTTTCAGAGTTGGTACACCAATTATTTCTTTTGCCCATTTTCTTATTGAAGAGTGTGAGAGTTCTTTATATTTCTAGTATGTCATTTGTAATGTAGGAATATTACATATTTTCTACTAAATTCAATCGGACTGAATTAATTTCTAAATTTAATTTTTAATGCTTGTTTGTAGAATATAGAAATATGATCAGCTCTGATCTGTATCCTATATGTATTCTTACTAATTTCACTTATGAGATTTAGAAATTTTCTGTAGACTCTAGAATTTTCTATATGCACAAATACTAGAATTGGATAAAGAGATTTATTTCTGCCTTGAAATTGTTTTATGTTTTAATTTTTTCATGCCTTATTGAACTGGTTGAAGCCTCACTGCAATGCTGAGTAAGTGTGGAGAGAGTGAAGGGCATGCCTCCCTTGTTCTTGATGTCAAGGAGAAAGCACGCATTTCAGCATTCAATGTTTAAGACAGGAGTTCTTAATGTGGCCTTTTAATATTTTAGGCAGTCACCATTTCTACTTCTAATTGGCTGACATTTTTATCATAGATATTGAATTTTGACAAAATTTTACAAAAATTGATTTGTCAAATTGGGTAATATGAGTTCTCCAACTTTGTACTTTTTAAAATATTTTATTTTTATTTTATGTGTATGTGTGGATTGCCTGCACATAGATATGTGCACCCATGTCGTCCAATGCCTGTGGAGGACAGAAGAGGTCATATGATCCACTGGAACTTAAGTGCACCTGTGTCATGCAGTGCTCATGGATAACAAAAGAGACTGTTGGATCCCCTGGAACTGGAGTTACAGAAAGTTGTTAGCTGCCAGGTGGGTGCTGGGATTTGAACCTGGGTCTTCTGCAAGAACAACCAGTGTTCTTAACTGCCGAGCCATCTCTCCAGCCCCAACTTTGTTCTTTTCAAAGATTTAATTTTAAAAATATGTGTATGTGTGTACTCATGAGTGCAGTGTCCTTGGAGGCCAGAAGGGGGCTGTGGAGCCTCTGGAGCTGTAGTTACAGGGGATTGATTGTGAGCCATCTGATGTGTTTGTTAGGAACTGAACTCAGGTCTTCTGAAAGAACAGGACATGCTCTTAAACCACTGAACCACCTCTCCAGGCTCAATTTTGTTCCTCGAAGAACTATTTTGTCTGGATCATTTCTTTCTGCCTGTAATTGTACATTTTTTTTAAGTTTCATCTTATTGTCAAATTTACGGTCATAGTGGTCATCATGATGATTATAGTATTCCTTGTCAATCTCTTAATACCTGTGAGATCTCTCTCTTTCTTTCTGTCTCTCTCTCTGTCTCTAGCTCTCTTCTGTCTCTCTCTCTGTGTCTCTTGCTCTCTCTTTCCCCTCCCTCCTTCCCTCCCTCTCTTCATTCCTCCCTCCCTCATCCCCTTCCTCTCCCTAGTCTGGATAGAGGTGTATTAATTATATAGGTTTTTCAACATTTGATGTGATTGATTTTGTTTTTCCTGTTTAAAATTTAATTGATATCTACTCCACCTTTATAATTTCCTTCTGCTTACCCTGATTTAATTTGTGTGTTCTTTCCTTTTCTCTTGAGGCAAAAGGTTAAATTACTGCACTGAGTCCCCCCTACCCCTGTCTAACATAATCATTTAATCGTAAAATGTCCCTTCCAGCTTTGCAGCTGCATTGCTCTGATTTTGATACATTGTGTTTTCATTAAGTTAAAAATAGTTTAAAACTTTCCTTGAAATTTCCACTTCGACCATGGATTATTTAGAAGTGCTGTCATGGTTCCAAGAAAATTCTTTGCAGGAATTCTATTTGAAATGTATGTCTGTGTGAGCACACAGCCCATGTGTGCTGTGTCCAAGTATGCTTGAGAATGTGGTTAAGGGAGCTTCCTAACGGTAATTGGGTCATGTTTGATACTTGTGTACTGCATTCTGATTTGCTATTGAAGTCTGAAAGGAGGCTGGCATTTCTAATTATGGATTTATTTCCCCTTTTGATTTTACTCCAAGTACTTTGAAAGTTGTTTTTAAAAGTTTTTCAGGTAAATACACATAATTTTTTTTAAGAACTGACTCTTTTGGCATTATGCAATTTTTCCCTTTGCCCTTGAAAATATTCCTTGTATTGAAGTTCATTTTATCTCATTAATATGGATATTCCAGGTGTCTGTTATAATGTTTTTGTGGTATATGTTCATCATTTCAGTTTAAGTTACCTCTGGCTTAAAGTTGAGTTTCTTGTTAACAGCTTCTTCTAAACAGCTTGCTTTAAAAAATATTCCAGTTTTGTGAGTTCCAGGCCAGCCTGGTCTACATGGTGAGTTCCAGGCCACCTGGGGCTAAAGGGAGACCCTGTCTCAAAAAGACCAAAAGATAATAATAAGAAGAATCCAATTTGACAGTCTCCAGTCTCTAACCAGAGCTTGGGCTGGTTGCACTAGAAATGATTGGTGTGCCTGGGCTGAGGTCTGTCATGCTGACTGTTATTGTTTCCTCCCTTTTCTGTTTTTGGATGAACAGAATGCTACTATTCCATTGTATCACTTCGACTAACATTCACACTTTTGTTGCTTTTAAACCATTTTAATGAATTCTTTGAGAATTTCAAGCAATGTATTTTGATTAAATTCACCCCAACTCCTCCCCTTAACTCCTTCCAGATCTACCTCCACCTTCCCACCCCCACAGCTTTGTGTCCTCTTCTCTTTTGTTTAATCCTCTCCAATTTGTGCTGTCCATGTACTTCTGGATATGGCCATCTGATGGAGTGCAGTCCCCCCACCAGGAGCCACCCCACTAAAGAAAGCTGCCTCTCCCTCCCTAGAAGCCAGCAATTGTCCATAGCTTCTCAGGCATCAGGCTCATGAACTGCTCCCTTCATGCTGGAATGCTGATTGGTTTGATCCTGTGCAGATCTTGTGCAGGCAACCACAGCCACTGGGAGTTCATGAGTGCAGTGGTCCTGTCATGTCCGGAAGACACTGTTTTGTTCTGGGCCTACCTGACCTCTTCACATTCCAATTTTTCATAATCATGCTTTACTTATTGGCCCGGGATTCATAACATCCATCTTTAATGAATCAGAGACTGTCTTCAATAATAGGATACTGCTTCCTATGTGCTATAAAGACCTTAAATAGTGTATTTCCAATTCCTCTCTCCCAACTACTGAGCTATTGTTTTTATGTAGAATATTGTTACTTTCAAGTGTGCTACAAATATACTTTGTAACACTTGTGGAAATTTTAATTGTATTTTTTTGTTTGTTTTTGTTTTTAAATAGGGTCTCCCTGTAGCCCCAGCTGGACTGGAACTTAACTGGGCTGGCCTCAGTTTCACAGAGATCTGCCTGCCTCTACCATCTGAGTGCTTGGAATTAAAGGTATGTGCTAGCACATCCATTGAATGTGTGTTTGTGTGGGTGTGTGTGTGTGTGTCCATCCACGTGTGTGTCTGTGTCTCTGTCTGTGTGTTTTAAGGCAATTAGAGTTAAGGAA